TCCGCAGGTGCAGAGGCAATAGATAATGATGAGGAGAGAACTGGCAACTTGACGGGTCGGACTGAAACAGATGAGGAGAGCCGGCGGCCTCGTCAGCAGGCACAACGTGCAAGACAGGCATCACGTACATCCACGGAGTCTACAGAAAAGGAGAAGGTGGACGACGAAGAGGAAGAAGAAGAACACAGCTCACGAAGCAGAGGAAGTGCAGCACAAGGCCTGCAGAGAGGAGGACAGCAGCGCCGCAACCGACCGGCTGACACCAGCAGCTCGGCTGGTACTGAAGATTCCGATGAAAAGGACGGAGGCGGTTCTAGAAACAGAGAAGGAGGTTCGCGCCAGAGGCAACCACAAAGGAGCAGAGAGCGATCCGCAGGTGCGGACGCGACAGATAATGATGAGGAAAGAACTGGAAACTTGACGGGTCAGACTGAAACAGGTGACGAGAGCCGACGGCCTCGTCAACAGGCACAGCGGGGCCGAGAGGTACCACGTACACCCCGGGAAGCTGTAGAAAAGGAGGAGGAGGATGAGGAAGACGAAGAGGAAAGCGACAGCCCGCGAAGCAGAGGAAGTGCATCACAGGGCCAGCAACGAGGAGGACAGCAGCGCCGAACCCGACCTGCTGATGTCAGCACCTCCATAAGTGTTGAAGATTCTGATGATAAGGAACAAGGGGGCCAGAGAAATAGAGAAGGCGGTTTGCGTCAGAGGCAGCCTCAATCGCATAGACAGCGACCCGCTGGTGCAGATGCAATAGAAAATGATGAAGAGAGAACCGGCAACTTGACGGGTCGGACGGAGAGAGCGGAAGAGAGCAGGCGATCTCGGCAGCAAGCGCAGCGAGCAAGAGAGGTATCACGTACACCCCAGGGAGCTGCAGAAAAAGAGGAGGTAGAGGAGGAGGAAGAGGACGAAGAGGAAAAAGAAGAAGGCGACAGCTCACGAAGCAAAGCAAATGCAGCAGGGGGCCAGCGGAGAGGAGGGCAGCAGCGCCTCGATCGACCGGCTGACGCCAGCACCTCAGTAGGTGACGATGAATCTGATGATAAGGACCGAGGGGGCTCTAGAAACAAAGAGGAAGCTCCGCGCCAGAGGCAGCCTCAAAGGAGCAGAGAGCGATCCGCTGGTGCAGAAGCGGCAGATTATAACAAGGAGAGAACTGGCAACTTGACGGGTCAGACTGAGAGGGCGGAAGAGAGCAGCAACACGCAAAGCAGTTCAAAAGGGCAGCAGCGTGCAATAGAGGCATCACGCTTACCCCAGGGTGACGCAGAGCAAGAAAACGAAGAAAGGAATAGCCCGCGAAATACAATAAATGCAACAGGTGGGCGGCAGAGAGGAAGCCAGCAACGCCGCGGCCGGCCTGACGATACGAAAGCAACAGCAGAAGAGGAAGATTCTGATGATAGAAAGAGGGATATAGAGGAAGTCTCGGGCCAGCGGCAGACTCAACTACGCAGACAAAGACCAGTTGTTGTAGAGAATAGTGCTGATGATGAGGAAAGAACTGGAAACTTGACGGGTCACACTGAGAGAGCGCGCGAGAGCAGACGGCCACGCCAACAGGCACAGCGAGCACAAGAGGCGCCAAATGCACCCCAAGATGTTGAAGAGGACTCGGCAGAGGGAGAAGAAAGAGAAAAAGAGGAAGAAGGAGAGGAAGAAGAGGAGGAAGAAGAAGACAACAACAGCTCACAAAATAGAGAAAGTGCAGCAGGCGGCCAGCAGAGAGGAGGCCTGCCGCGCCGCAGCCAATCTGCTGAAACGAGAAGGTCTTCAGAAGGTGAAGATGCTGATGATAAGGATAGACAGCGCTCTAGAAATAGAGAAGATTCGCGCCTGAGGCAGCCTCAAGGACGCAGGCAGCGACCGGCTGTTGCAGAAGAGGGTGATGATGATGATGAGAGAACTGGTAACGTAACGCATCGGACTGAGACAGCGGCAGGGAGTATCGGCAGACACAGCAGTTCAAGAAGGACACAACAGCAGGAACAGGATACAAGAGAGGCGTCACGTACACCCGCGGTTGACCCAGAGGAAGAAGAAGACGAAGACGACGACGAAGAAAAAGAACAGGAAGAAAGAGACCGAAAAGGAGGAGAAGAAGACGAAGAAGAAGAGGAAGAAGAACCAGACGAAGAAGAGGAGCAAGAACACGAACAAGAAGAAGATGAAAATAGACGAGAAGAAGGACCAGAAGAAGAACACGAAGAAGAACGAGAAGACGAAGAATACGAAGAAGACGAGCAAGAAGAAGGCGAAGAAGAGGAAGAAGAAGAAGAGACGGGAAGGAAAAGACAAACGGATAAAGGAAAGCAAAAAGAAGTTGAAGACGGAGATGCAGAAGAAGAAGAAGACGAAAAGGAGGAACCAGAAGGACGCGGAGCAGAAGAAGACGAAGAAGAGGAGACCGGAAAAGAAGAAAATAAACAAGGAAAAGAGGACAAAGAAAAACACCGAGAGGAAGAAGAACAACAAAACGCAAAAGCACAAGAAAAGGAAGAGGAAGAAAAGAGAGACAAAGAAGAAGAAAAAGAAAAGGAAAAACCAGAAGAAAGCGGTATCATGGGGAATACAAGAAATACAATAGGCAGGCGGCAAAGAGGAAGACAACAGCGAGCCCGCAGCCGACGCCTTGCATCCTCTGTTCCGGTTGTTGGTGATAGTATTATGTTTTCAAGCAATGCAAGTAAAGCAGAAGCAGCATCAAAAGGTAATATTAATGTCGTCACAAGAAATAACGGGAAAACAACGCAAACGTCCCGGGTTCCTGTTGCTGCTGATGCTGCCGCCATCACTACCAGCAACATGAACAAGAACAATAACAAGACCGACAGCAACAACGAGAAGAACAACAACAACAACGAGAATAAGAACAAAATGAGTACTTTTTCTCCTCGTCGTCTCAGAGGATCAAAGCTACCTTATGCATATTTTATAATGGGTGTAAACCAATGGCGTCACATCAACGACCCTGTTCATCAGCTGAAGATGGATACTGCAACATCTCGAGCAGCAGAGAAAGCAGCAGCAAAAGCCAAGGGGCCCATACCCCGGGAAAAGGGTTATTTAGATCCAACTACTGGTTTATTCGGTATACCCACACCTATGGGGCCCCAGACGTACAGATATGATTTAAAAGATCATCAGAAGAAACCACTTGTTTCTCCTGTAGAAATACGCCAGCTAGATATGTGTTACCGACAAGAAAAACGAAAACCTCTCGTGCAGTGCCCAGAAGGATTTACTGCTAATAAAGAAGGCGGGTGTTACATGGAGGTGGCGCCAGCATTCACGTGCCTTGGTGTGAGTTTATTGAATTC